AAATAAAACTTCAACATCCTGTATCTTGGAAACGAAGCGTTTCCGGACATTTATTTATTTGGACAATTCATATTAGAATATTGTGAGGAATCACCTCCTGAAGTTTGTCAAAGTACTTTTGAATCACCCTGTATTTTATTTTGCTGCTCAGATATATCTATTGAAGTTTTCAAATTGTCACCCTGTACATATGAAAGGAGGTAGAAAAAAATGTAAGAGATTGTGTATGAACTTTTTGGTACAAATATTGAGAAAATTCAGTTAAGTAGCGAATGAAGAAAAATGCAAATAACAAAGTGAAACCGATTGTATGAAATGTTTTCAGACAAATTGAAGTTCCATATTCAACGATAAAAAACAGCTGCAGTGTAGTTGAGAATGAGGAAACTTGTAGTTTCCACATTGGTATTATTGAATTTTACTAATAGGCCATCAATCACACAGACATGTAACAAAAACCTGACAAATCTCAAGTTTTTTGTATTTCAAGCTTCAAATTAATATCTTGATTTGAATCTTAATTTTGATTCATTGAGCTGACAATGACATAACTTAATAGCACAATTATTTCTTTAAGGTTTTCTTCGTCCTACGAAAGAAACAACAGCAAGTAACTTTTTTACATATATATCATCATTTTGGCATGGTCCTGATACTGTGGATTTGTACGAAATTTTACGCAGGTGGTCATGGAACTTGGACTGGACTCATCAACTCGACTGTACATTCGATTATGTACACCTACTATCTGCTAGCAGCTTTGGATGAGAAGTGGAAGAAGAGTTTATCTCTAAAAAAGTTCATCACATTGATGCAAATGGTAATATCTTCATAGCTTTTATTTTTTCCAAATTATGTAGGAGTAAAATTAGCATTCACTACTTGTTGATTGAAATAACTGCTTTATTGGACGCAAGACTTATTAAAAATATTAGAGGGTGTTTGGTTTAGTAGGGCCAGTACCTAAAGGTTAGCCGCTCTATGCCAATCAATTATTTTTGTCTTGATTGTATGTTTCTCCTCTCAGAAAAAAATGGCACGATATCTTTGATGGGGTATAAATTTGATGTGCTTTGGAAAAAGTCTCACCATTGTTTTCTCTCTTCTTGTTTCCCTTTTTTCTTTGTTAGTT